AGGGGGAAACTGATCCTGAAGGGGCTACTTCCTGGAGCCAGTCAGGAGTCCCAGTGAAGGGATGAGGACAGCCACCCGCCCACAAAACCTTTGATCCAACTGCCTACAAGATGTGCAAAGGCAAAGATAGAGCAGAGACTGAGGGGATGGCCAACCAATGACTGCTCCAATGAGACCCATTCCATGAGCAAGAACCAATCTCTGATACTATTGGTGATGCTCTGTTATGCTTGGAGACAGGAACCTGGCATAACTGCCCTCTAAGAGACTCTCCGAAGCAGTCAATGGAAAGAGATGCAGAGATCCACAGCCAAATATTAGAGAGACCTCAGGGAGTCTTATGGAAGAGTTGGTAGAAGGATTGAGGAACACAAAGAAGACAGGGACTCTACAGGAATACCAACAGAGTCAACCAACCTGGATCTTTAGGGCTCCCAGAGACTGAATCACGAACCAAACAGCAAGCACTGGCTGGATCTAACCCCTTTCACATGTGTAACAGATGTGTACATTGATCTTCATGTGGGTCCCCAACATCTGGAGCAGGGACTGTCCCTGAATCTGTTGCCTGCCTGCCTGCCTGCCTGCCTGTGGATCCCGTTCCCCGATCTGGTCTCAGTGGGAAAGAATATGCCTAGTACTGAAATGACTTGCTCTTCCAGGGTTAGGGAGCAGTGAGTAGGGGGTGGGGAGGAGTGAATGGAGGATCTGTGTGAGGAAGTACTGGGAAGAGAGGGGGGCTAATATTGGGGTGTAAAGTGAATAAATTTTTAAAAATCTGAGGTACGTTAGTAGATGAGTTATATTCTAATGTTAAACTGTAGCATGCTATAAGTACTAAACATCTCTGCAGATTATGAATATCATCCTGTCTTTAACCATAGCTATTCTAAGTCATTTGTTATGCAGTTTTTAAAATAAAACAAAATTCATTTTACATGTAACTGCATACTTTTGTTACTGTTCAAAAAAATATTTCTTAGTTTAAAACTGTTAGCAAAAATTGTTCAAAAAAATATTTCTTAGTTTAAAACTGTTAGCAAAAATTGTATGTACCTTTGTTCCTGCTAATTTTGTTTTATATTTATTCTTTTTTAAAAAAAAATGGTGTACCTGCCAATCACTTGGTCCTTTTGGCTGGGGCAGACGCCTAGCTGGTCTGCTCCCATGAAGACACCATATTCTGAGCCATCCTAGAGGAACCACTGCACTCAGAGCAGCAGACATCATATTCTGAGCCATCCTAGAGGAACCACTGCACTCAGAGCAGCAGACACCATATTCTGAGCCATCCTAGAGGAACCACTGCACTCAGCGCAGCAGACACCATATCCTAAGCTATCCTAGAGGAACCAGTGTACTCAGAGCAGAGAAGGAACCACTGCACTCAGAGCAGCAGGATTTCAGAATGCCAGAGGCTGCCTGAGTTCCAGCAGTTCCTTCACCCAGGAGCTCAGGATCACAGGATTACAGGATCACAGGATCACAGGATCACAGGATCACAGAGACATCTGGACTCTGAGGAGTTCTGACACAAGCAAGATAACTGGAAAGGCAGGCGTCAGTCACAGACAGTAAGTGCAGGTAACACTACAGTTAACCAGATGGCGAAAGGCAAGCACAAGAATATAGGCAACAGAAACCAAAGTTACTTGGCGTCATCAGAACCCAGTTCTCCCATCATAGCAACCCTGGACACCCCATCACACCAGAAAAGCAAGATTCAGAATTAAAACCACTTCTCATGATGATGATAGAGGACTTTAGGAGGGACACAAATAACTCCCTTAAAGAAGTACAGGAGAACCCAGGTAAACAGGTAGAAGCCCTTAAAGAGGAAACACAAAAATCCCTTAAAGAACTGCAAGAAAAGACAACCAAACAGGTGAAAGAATTAAACAAAACCATCCAGGATCTAAACATGGAAGTACAAAGGGAAACAACTCTGGAGATAGAAAGCCTAAGAAAGAAATCAGGAGTTGTAGACACAAGCATCACCAACAGAATACAAGAGATAGAAGAAAGAATCTCATGTGCAGAAAATACCATGGAAAACATTGATACAACTGTCAAAGAAAATGCAAAATGCAAAAAAGCTCCTAACCCAAAACATCCATAAAATCCAGGACACAATGAGAAGATCAAACCTAAGGATAATAGGTATAGATGAGAGTGAAAATTCCCAACTTAAAGGGCCAGTAAATGTCTTCAACAAAATTATAGAGTAAAACTTTCTTAACCTAAAGAAAGAGATTCTGATGAACATACAAGAAGCCTGCAGAACTACATATATACTAGACCTGAAAAGAAATTCCTCCTGTCACATAATAATCAAAACATCAAATGCACAAAACAAAGAAAAAATACTAAAAGCAGTAAGGGAAAAAGGTCAAGTAACATATAAAGGCAGACCTACAGGAATTACACCAGACTTCTCACCAGAGACTATAAAAGCCAGAAGAGCCTGGACTGACATCATACAGACCCTAAGAGAACACAAATGCCAGCACAGGCTACTATACTCAGCAAAGCTCTCAATCACTATTGATGGAGAAACCAAGATATTACATGACAAAACCAAATTTACACAATATCTTCCCACAAATCCAGTACTTCAAAGGATAATTGATGGAACATTCCAACAAAAGGAGGGAAACTGCAACATAGAAAAAGCAAGAAAGTAATCTTCCAACAACCCTAAAAGAAGATAGCTACACAAACATAATTCCACCTCTAATAACAAAAATAACAGGAAGCAACAGTCATTTTTCCTTAATATCTCTTAACATCAATGGACTTAAGTTATAAAACAAATGAATTTAACGGATATAGATAGAACATTTCATCCCAAAACAAAAGAATATACCTATTCCTCAGCACCTCATGGTACCTTCTCCAAAATAGATCATATAATTAGTCACAAAGCAGGCCTCAATAGATAGAAAAATATTGAAATAATCCCTTGCATCCTATCAGATCACCATAAACTAAGGCTGGTCTTCAATAATAACAAAAACGATGGAAAACCCACATGCATGTGGAAACTCAACAATGCTCTACTCAATGATGACTTGGTCAAGGAAGAAATAAAGAAAGAAATTAAAGACTTTTAGAATTTAATGAAAATGAAGGCTTGTCATATCAAAACTTGTGGGACTCCATGAAAGCACTGCTAAGAGGAAAACTCATAGCTCTAAGTCTCTACAAAAAGAAGCTGGAGACAGGATACACTAACAACTTGACAACACACCTGAAAGCTCTAGAACAAAAAGAGGCAAATACACCCAAGAGGAGCGAACAGCCGGAAATAATCAAACTCAGGCTGAAATCAACCAAGTAGAAACAAAAAGAACTATACAAAGAATCAATAAAACCAAGAGCTGGTTCTTTGAGAAAATCAACAAGATAGATAAACCCTTAGCCAGACTAACCAGAGAGCACAGAGACAGCATCCAAATTAATGAAATTAGAACTGAAAAGGGAGACATAACAACGGAAACTAAGGAAATTTAAAAAATCATTAGACACTACTACAAAGGTGTATACTCAACAAAAGTGGAAAATCTGGATGAAATGGACAATTTGCTAGACAGATACCAGGTACCAAAGTTAAATCAGGAGCTGATAAACTATCTAAGCAGTCCCATAACCCCTAAAGAAATAGCATCAGTCATTGAAAGTCTCCCCAGCAAAAAATAGTCCAGGACCAGATGGGTTTAGTGTAGAATTCTATCAGACTTTCAAGGACCAATTCTTTTCAAACTATTCCACAAAATAGAAACAGAAGGAACACTATCCAATTTGTTCTATGAAGCCACAATCACGCTCATATCTAAACTTTACAAAAATCCAACAAAGAAAGAGAACTTCAAACCAATCTCCCTTATGAATATCAATCCAAAAATATTCAATAAAATTCTTGCAAACTGAATCGATCAAAACAATCATCCATCATGATCAAGTAGGCTTTATCCCAGGAATGCAGGGATGGTTCAATATTTGGAAATCCAGCAACGTAATCCACTATATAAACAAACCCAAAGGAGGAAAAAAACCCCAGATGATCATCTCACTAGATGCTGAGAAAGCATTTGACAAAATTCAACATCCCTTCATGGTAAAAGTCATGGAAAGATCAGGAATTCACGGTCCATACCTAAACATAGTAAAAGCAATATACAGCAAAGCAGTAGCCAACATCAACCTAAATGGAGAGAAACTTGAAGCAATCCCACTGAAATCAGGTACTAGACAAGGTGCCCACTCTCTCTCTCTCTATTCAACATAGTACTGGAAGTCCTAGCCAGAGCAATTAGACAACAAAAGGAAGTCAAAGGGATACGTTAAAAAAGAAAGGAAGAAGTCAAATTTTCACTATTTGCGGATGATATGATAGTATAATTAAGTGACCCCAAAACTTCCACCAGAGAACTCCTAAACCTGATAAACAACTTCAGCAAAGTGGCTGGATATAAAATTAACTCAAACAAATCAGTAGCCTTCCTCTACTCGAAGGGTAAACAGATTGAGATAGAAATTAGAGAAATGACACCCTTCACAATATTCACAAATAATATAAAATACTTTGGTGTGAATCTATCCAAGCAAGAGAAATATCTGTATGACAAGAACTTCAAGTCTCTGAAGAAAGAAATCAAAAATCTCAGAAGATGGAACGATCTCCCATGCTTGTGGATTGACAGGATTAGTATAGTAAAAATGGACAATCTAGCCCACCTAGGTCTTCTGACTTATTTTTTAGAAGGTGCTTCTTAGAGTCTTCAATATCTTTATTTAAAGCTTAAAGGAATTATCTGAGACATTTCAGATTTGCTTTTAATATACTTCTTTTATGAAATTGTATTTAACTTTATAATTTTAATAAAATGACAGTTACGGATGATATTTTATCTTCTTACTAGTCACAATTTGTTATGATTATTTTCTTATCCAAACCTCCTACCTTACTTATACAGAGTCTTTGTCTTTGAAAATCTTTACACTTTTTTTTTTAACAGTAACACATTTATTGTACCTCTCAGCAGAGTACAATCACAAATACCTTAAGAAAAATAAGAAAACATTAGGCAAGTCCTAGTCTACAACACAACTCTTCACCTATAACAAGCTCCTCAGTCATTCTGGTCATCATCCCAGTCTTTCTTCCCACTTGGAGGTTTGAGCCCACCAGCTGGTTTTGCCGTGGTGATCTGATCCACTCTAAGTACAGTGACTGAAGCATTAGTGGCCAGTTTAACAGCCCAGTATTTTCCCAAGTAAGTATCTAAAATACTGGCTTCTAACATATCCTTTACAGCGGGGACTTCGGCCTCAATATCCAGCCCCACATTTTTGTTTCCTTCTTGATGTACTGAGTAAAGTTTAGCAATACCTTCATTGGCCTTCACGCCAGAATTTTCTGCCAGTGCCCATGGAATAGCTTCAAATGCTTCAGCAAACTTCTTAATACCATACTGTTCAAGTCCAGGACATGTTTCTCCATATGATGTGATTTGTTTGGCCAATTCAATTTCTGTAGCTCCACCTCCAGGTACAAGATGCTTATCCCTTGTGAGAACTTTGAAAATATTAACTCCATCATCTACTGCCCTTTCTATATCATCCATCAGATTGTCTGTAGAACCTCGAAGAACTATAGTAGAAATGGCACCATCTTCTTTTTCATGCTTAAAAACAACCACCTGTGTATCTCCAACTTCTGAGAGGTAAACACTGTCACAATGTCCCATTTCTTCCAGGACAGGAGGAGTCAGTTTTGGAAGAGCTGTGGCAGCAACTGTTTTACACAGTCGTCTGAGATCCCACTTTGAGTTAAGTCTCACCAACATGATATTGTACTTGTTAGCATAATGAAGAGCCATGTCTGCCACTTTGCCACCTGTTACTACCACATTAGCACCAGTGCCTGCAATAGCTTTCACTTGTGCATCCATAAGATTTTCTTCTCCCTTACTAAAGTTCATCAGTTCTTCAGCAGTCTTAATCAGCACTGTTCCCTTTGTCTCTGTTATCATTCCATCAAATGGACAAGAGTACACAGCTATTTTCGCATCTTTGACAGATGTCACATCACCTTCAGTTTCCTTCTTAAAAAACATGCCATGTAATACTGAGGACGAATAAACACCAGAGCCCAGAATCTTACATCCTCTGATGCTATCAACATTGAAATTGCCAGAATCAGGAAAAATAGATACACATGCTTGAGCAATAAGCTTGGCCAGAAATGTCTCACTGCCGTACTGCTTACTCATTATGGAGATTCGAAGCACAGATGACACTTCATCAACATCTCGAAGGTTTTTTGCAGAACAACATACCAGATCAGGAAGAATCTCATGAGCTTTTTTGCAAGCTATTTCATATCCTGATATTACCTCTGATACTGACAGGCCAATCCTCAGAAGTTCTTCAGCTAGTTCCAAAAGAGCCCCAGCGAATACCAGAACAAAGTTTGTGCCATCACCAACCTCTTGTTCTTGCATATGAGAAGCCGTCACAATCATCTCTGCAGCAGGATGCTGCACTTCTAGCTCTCTTAAAATAGTCGCTGCATCGTTTGTCACAAACAACTTCTCCAGGCGTTTGATGACCATTTTATTCATTCCATTTGGTCCATATGCTGTACGAGTAGTCTGCGCAAGCTCTTTGCAGGCCTGTATATTTCTATACACAGCTTCTTCTAATCCCGAGAAATGTTTTGCTCCATCTTTGAGCATCTGGTCAAAGCCCGGGGCCTTGGGGACGTGAAGCGCCATGGCTAGCCCGCAATCAACCGCTCAAGCGCTTGCTCCACGACTCCGAGGAAGCAAGGTGCGCCGCACACCAAATCTTTACACTTTTAACTACAAACTCAGTCTTTGGTATTTTTTAGATAAACATTCTAGATTTTAAACTAGTAAATCCAACTCCTAGTTCCCAGTGGCAACAACGATCAACGTAGCTATTAGGTTTGGAGCAGAAGTTTTAGGACAAGCTAAGTTTGTTGTACTAAAAGATATTCATTAAGAAAGAATTTACTTCGCAAAGAGTAGGACAAAGAAAAAAAGTGGAACATTCGTTAAAAAATTCTGACTCTGAAGGATATTACAGGATTCATTTCCTTATCCTAGATTGTATATAGATATATAAAATTTTACATGTGCATTTGCATAATGGTAGATACAAACTGTCTAGAAACTCTCAGAACATGAGAGGGGAGGGGAAAGGAGAAAAAGGGGTAAGAAACGTGACCAAAATGCATTTTGTACTTGTATGAGAACATCCTTGTGAACCCAGGACTATGTGCTCAGAGCATATGTGTTTCACACGCGTGTACGGGACAAACTATATAGAGCTACTAGTAAACTGAACAACGGCACAGCCTTCACTTTAGACTAAACAGGCTATTGGCCAATATGATGCAGATGAAATCTAAAGGGGCTATGAGACAATGGCCAATCCTTCTTCATGTAAAAATTAGGGCTAAGGATCTACACAAACTGTGGAAAGCATCAATTGTGAAAATAACACATGGGACTTAGAACCTAAGATACTTCACTTTAAGACCTTAGCTGACTGGAATATTTTGATTGTGAATAAAGAAAATCAAGGGCAAAAGCCAAAATTACCTGGGGCTACCCAAGTCCTTCATAATTACTTACCATCTTTGTCTCACCTGATAGTCTTATAACTCTTACATAGTTTTCAGAATGTATCAGTAAGCATATACACTTCTGGCTCCCGCCACCCCTAAAGCTGAGGATACCGTAAATTAATACCTAAAACCTACAGAGGAGGTCTCCATGATTTAATGTGGAAGCTATTATTTCCACCAGTAGAATTTGTACATACATTAATTTATAACTTTCTTTTGTTCTGTGCCTTAAGAGTCCACATAATCCCTTTTACAGTGGGATGTGTCATTTAGAATAATTTGAATTAATGTCCTTAGCCATTGTTACCCACATTTGACTTGGAAGAAAAATAATGTATTTTATTTAGGGTTACTCTTTTACATTGAAAATGGAGATTATAACCCAAAGCTGATTTCTAGATAAGAACACCACAATACACTTTGGAAATTATCAGGGACACATAAATACAAGTTCCTGGCATCCTATGCTAAACAAAAGAAGAAGTATAGTCAAATATTTGATAGAATCATAGAATACTTCACTGGGGAATACTAATGCCAGGGAAGCCAACTGGAAGTTAAGACACAGCTAGAGACCAGGACGGCCCTATCCTTCCAACATGTATCCCATGTGTGCCCATCTAAACAGCCATCAGAACCTCCCTTTTAAAACAACAGGAAGAACAGCAAGCTCCAAGACAAAAAATCTATGTTGTGAACATGGTCATCTTTTTTACCTATGTGGCATTGGTCAAATTCTTTACCATTCGGGGACTCTGTAATGCAGGACTATACAAGATGACTTCCACATTTTTTTCTAGATCTATCAATCTAGAAACACTGGTATGTCAGAGACATCCTCTGGTAGAAACCACGTTAAACAAGATGAAAAGTCTCTATATTCAAAGGTTTCCGAGATCTTGCCTGCGTCACTCAGAACTATCTCCAGTTCTGTTTTATCTTGGTTAAATGCCACTTCCTCAGTGAGGTCTCCCCGATCATGTATTTAAAATTGGATTCTTTTCCTATCTGCTGTTGCCAATCTCCTCCCTCAAACTTGACACTAGAGCACGCTTTGACCTTTGAACACATTTAATCACTTACTAAGCTTTTGCCTGTCTGCCTAGCCTTGACCAAACAGAGGTTTGGGTTTTCCACAATTTTATATACCATGCATTCTAGAACAAGGCATAAAATCTAGGAGGGCCCAATATTATTGAATGAATGAATGAATTCTTAATACAAATTTAAAATAAAATATTTATTGACTTATCACAATTGTAAAAACCAGATATAGCCAACTCTGGCCTATCTGAACACTGTCTCTTACCTTATCAGAGTATGTTTTAAATAGATTTTTAAAAAACAACACCTTTAAAAATTAACATTGAATAAGTGAAGGCTCAAACTGATTTAACTTCATTTACAAGACAGTAAATTTGATGTTAGTTAAATTCCAACTCTATGAATCATTAAGCCAATTTAACAAAAATCAAGCAGGAAATGCTGCTTTATAAACTCTGCCCCATTGAGAGCCTTTTAAGGTAATGATACTTCATGCCGTACATTCTGTAGTACTGATGTCTGAAGTCAAAAGGTTTGACCATAATGGGAATGATTATATTGGATTGGTTTAATCTCATACTTATTGGATATGAAATGAATTTCCCTTTAGACGAAATCTCCAAAATGTATTGAGTAAGCACGCGCGCGCGCGCGCACACACACACACACACACACAGTGAGCTCACTGTTTTATTTTGAATCAAAATACTCTTTAAGTAAACCAACTGAGTTTACTGTGTTATTAAAAATAATGCAAGTAAACAGGAAGAATTGAGACACCCAGGTATGATGTCATCCAACATTCATATGTCATTTCACAGTTGAGTGACTTCAGTTCCAGTGAGAACACAATACTTACTGTAGAAACATCAAACCTAAATTCAGCAACACGTGAAGTTCTTCTCTGCTTAATTCTGGATTATCTTTTTTTTTTTTTATTTCTGTGAAGCTCAAATTTTGCTAGCTGGGAAAATGGCTTGCTGGATAATGTGCTTGCCACAAAAGCTTGAGGATCAAAGTTCAGATCTCCAGAACCTACATATAATCAGATAGGAATAGCAAAACCCAATTATCCCAGCACTTGGGCGGCAGCAACAGGACATTCCCAGAACTCTGGATTTAGCGGAAGACCCTGTCTCAATAGAGTTGAGAGTGGTTTAGAACGATCAGTACCCACACAGGACTATGGGTGTACGTGAGTGCTCTCTCTCTCTCTCTCTCTCTCTCTCTCTCTCTCACACACACACACACACACACACACACACACACACGCACAGCACAGAGAGAGAGAGAGAGAGAGAGAGAGAGAGAGAGAGAGAGAGAGAGAGAGAGGAGCATATTTTGAAGGGTGGTGGGAAGATGAAGGAACAGAGGTACTGAGAGTTAGTACAGAAACTGTGTGGAACTGTCTCAGTGGATAGGTGGCTCTGGATGACACTGAAAATGGACAGCAGGAAAAAGGTAACATGGTGAGATCCAGTACCAGAGGTGGGTAACAAAGCAAGAGAAGTGGAATGCCGCAGTCCAGTACCTGGGACTGAGCACCCCCTGCCCTTCTCCCATGCCCCGTTCCTGGAAAAGAAAGAGAAGTCTTCCCTCAGAGGGAGTGACTGACAGTGACATCACAGGAGGCTACATGCCATAGACAAACAGTTTATAAACAAACATCTGACCTGGAGCCTGTACATCAAGCTAGATCAGAGAAGAAATTTCATTGTTTCTTTTAGGAAATGTTGAGGGCCATCCATCAAAGGAAACTAAGCTCCAAAAATATGCCAAAAAGTATTATCTCAGGGCCACCATGAACAGCTTGCTACTTTGGCAGGGCAACCAGCAGCCATACAAGATAATCTTTACATTAAGGCATGCCTCTGACACAAACTCGCCCATGCTTTTTACACTGTAGATCATGCCTAGACTAGATTAATAAATCAACATTTAACTAAGTTAATATATTATTATCCAGATACTATTTCAGCCAATTCATGGGTTTTACAGTGCTACTCAAAAGTTGATTGAGAAAATCTCTCTGAAATGACCAAATTAGAATATGGATTAAAAACAAAACCAAAAAAAAAAAAAAACCCAAAGTCTTCAAAGTAATCCTGTGTCTCTAATAAGAGTTGAAGCAGTCATTCTGTATCATTATTGCTTCCTTCACACATACTAATCGGTTACTTATAAATGGGAGGAAACTTCATTAAGGAATAGTTACTTGAATGAAAAAAAATAAATTAAAAGGAAGGACATGGCTGATCCTGATTTCAGCACCAGATGACTGCACAAAGGAAATAATGAAGGAAGGACGATTGATCCTAGGTATGGCAGAGGAGAAGGTTTATTGTACATAAAAGGAAGAACACAGTCAGAGGTAGAAACAACTCGGAGATTTCAGAGTGACTACAATCCTGAGCCAGGCCATGTGGGGAGAGAGGAGAAGCTGCCAATTACCAGCAGTGACTAGGAGGGTAAAGTAGAACAAAGGTCATGTAATCAAAGTGATTGGATTATGTAGGGAAGGGCAGCTTTAAGAAACCCTGTCTCGAAAAACCAAAAAAAAAAAAAAAAAACCAAAAAAAAAGAAAAGAAAAGAAAAGAAAGGAAGGGCAGCCCAGCCTCTGGGCTAGAGAAGTTTAGGTTCCACAGTAGGGTATGCTAACCATTCCCTTTAACAAACACACAGGGACTGAAGCATGATGGGAAAGTCTGGCAGCCAGGTCCACTTTGATATGTTAAATAGGCACCTCAGCTGTTTGTTCTGGGTTTGAGACCTAACATTATTGTCTCTGGGAGGCAAAGATTCCTCATTGTAGATTCTTGGTCTCCTTGACAAAGGAACTTAAAACTTGACACAGAATGTTTGGAATTAGAGGAACAATGGGACAGGCAATCTTGAGACTTTGGCAGCTTTTGGGACCAGGGAGATGGAGAGAGGGAGAAGAGAGTTATTCCTTTCAACAGAGTTCAAACAGAAAGATACTACTTGGGAAACAAGGTAGACAAACCAGGGGAAAAAAGAGACAAAATCTGATGCCTGGGGACTTCATTCCTTGCATGTTTTATTTCTCTCTTCTCAGGGCAATATGGGCCTTGGGTGTGACAGCATGTCATGACTTTCTGGCAAACAAAGGACCACATGTTGGTTTAGCCTTCAGTCACCTAAGAGCTGTCTTGTTGGTGAAGAATTCAGTAGTCTCTAAGACAGGAAGGAATTCAGATGATCTACGGTTGTCTGTTTATCTTTTGTTTGCTTTGGGCCAAGAATGAAGATTTACTGGTGTTTGCTATCAGGAGTCTAGCCTTCAGCTGTGTGGCCAGGTTAAAGTTCTTGTCCTTGGTTCATCTTTAACTTGTAATTAGGTTCAAGCATGTTGTGCATCCTCACTTCTGGCTGAAAGGCTACTGCAGGTTCATTCCTGGTGGATGGAAGGCCATCACATGAAAATGAGTTATAAGTAGTGTGGTGATTTTTCACTATGGCATTTGCAGCCTGACTCCTTTTTAGGTTTGTCTGATTTGGGTATTACTATCTCAGGTCATAGCACTGGTCTCAGGATGCTAACATGCTGATATCCGTGTCTTCATCTCTTCCCTTTCTACCTAGCATTCCCTATCACATACACAAAGGACACATTTGTGTTTCTCTTGCGGCACAAGCATCAAGACCCGAGTTCAGATTCCCTCTGCACATACTTTTAAAGAGCTTGCATGCTGCACATGTCTATATGCCCATCACAGAGAAGGTAGAAACAGAAAGATCTCCAGAGTTCAATGGCCAGCCATTCCAGCCAGATTGGTGATCTGCAGGTCAGTGGGAGACTGCATTCACACATATATGTGCATATGGGTGCGTTCATAGATATATGTGCTCATGAACACATATACACACACTAGATAAATAAAACTCAAGAGGAGTTAAGTTAGGAGTATTATCTCACTATGCAACTATAAGATATGATTATGTCCTGTGGATTCTTCACAGTAGATTTATAAATCAAACTACGTAATAGATATCCTAACAATGATAGAAATTTCTATACTAAAGAAATATAAATAGCCAGGCTTGGTGGCACACACCTTTAATCTTACTTCGGAGTCAGAGGCAGGCAGATCTCTGTAAGTTTGAGCCCAGTCTGATCTACACAGTGACTTCCAGGACAGCCAGAGCTACACACTGAGACCCCGTCTTGAAAAAAAAAGATGATGATGATGATGAATGTTTTATCAATACATTTACAGGAATTAAAAGCAAAGAATTAGAGGTAAGATGGCTTTGTGGCAGGTGTGGTGTCCATATACAAATTGTCTCAGCTACTCAGGAGGCTAAAAGCAGGAAGATGTTCAATTTCAAACTGGGCTACAGAGTTAGACTAAGTCTAAAAAGCTGCATTTGTTTATTATGTTAAGATAGTGTTTCTGGCCGGGCAGTGGTGGCGCATACCTTTAATCTCAGCACTTGCAAAGCAGAGGCAGGAAGATTTCTGAGTTCGAGGCCAGCCTTGTCTACAGAGTGAGTTCCAGGACAGCCAGGGCTACACAGAGAAACCGTGTCTCAAAAAGACAAAAAACTAATTAATTAATTAATTAAAAGATAGTGTTTCTGTTAGCAAACGTCTTGCACCTGTATGATCCAATGTATAGCATTTAGATTCTTATATCTCCAATGATGTCTTAATTAAAATGTGCATTCCCATAGTGATAAGTAAGACACCAGATGACACATGCATCATTTAATATGATATTTTGCCTATCCCAAATCACCAGTTCTCTGACCTGCCTTTACCTACCATTGTATCTGTGGGGTGATAATTCTGTTCAAACCTTAATTAACAGTTGGTTTTTATTTCAATAAAAACAAAACATTTCTGAAAAAAAAAGAGTTAAGAAGAGTTAAAAGAATAGCTAAAATATTGGTATCTTACTCTGATATGTTTAATGCACTAGAGACGCTTAGTGTTAGACTTCAGAACGCAGCTTAGAACAGATAACAGCAGACCAGACAGTTCCAAAGGGGAGGGGTTTATTCAGAGCAGAGGGCAAAGGTGGGAGAGAAACGGGAGAAGATGGTGGAGAAAGAGGAGAGAGAGAGGAGAGAAGTGGAGATCAGCCATGACCACGTGGAGAGAGGGGGAAGGGAAGGGGTCAAGGGCAAGGAGACAGAGAGAAGCTAGAGGCAAGAGAGTAAGAGAATAAGAGAGAGAAGAGGAGGCAAGCAGCCCCTTTTATTGTGGGCATGCCTACCTGGCTGTTGCCAGGTAACTGTGGGGAGGAGCATACCTGGGTGTTGTCAGATAACTGTGGAGGTGGAGTTTAGACAGAATACTAACACTTAGTTGTTGAGAGTTTATCATCAAGATGGACAAACTTTAAGACTGAGTTATTTGGTGGATGTTCATGTACAGTGTTACTTAAGGTGAGGTAGGACCGTGTATTCCAGCAGAAGTCTACTTTATTTTGGATCTCAAGCAGACTCATGGAAAACAAGATAAACAGCTTCACGACAGTATTTATAGAAGTTCTACCACTGGAAACTATGCAAAGTTCTATGCAATAAAATTAGATAATGAACAAGAGACACAATCCTAGCTGTAACGGCCGTTTCTTTTGTAACGGCCGTCGGGTTCTGTTACTTTGTAAAGGCCGGCCGGTTCTGCTGCTCCAGTCCAGGTCAGGGTCTAGCAAGAGAGAGAGTGGGGACAGAAGAAGGGGGAAAAAGGGGCGAGAGACGCAAAAGATAGATACAAAACAGAGTCCGGTGGAGTCTCTTCAAGTCTCTTCTTTATTCTCTCTTCTATATATATTCTCCTCACTCCTTCAGTCTCCTGACACCTCTCACTTTCTCACTCCTTCCTCTACTTCCTACTACCTCCTACTACTTACTACCTCCTACTTTCTACCTCCTCAATAGAAAGGAAATCCGGGTATTTATACCCTTTACCATGTGACTTGCCCTCGTGGACAATCTCAACTGAAGCCACTACGTCACGTGCCTTGTAGCCATGGATACCAGGAGCACCTTGCAGCTGGGGGCACTAAACAGTGTAACAAGATGTTTATCAGAGTGTGCTCAGCTATTGCAGGCTGTTGAAACAAGTCTCTTGTCAGGATATATGGCTCAAGATGGCTGTAAAGATGATAGCCACTTTCGGCTAAGAGTCGGCTCCCAACACCTAGCAACAGTGATATTAAGTATCTGGTTTCATGGAGAGTCCTGCAATTTCCCTACAGACACAAGAGCCACTGCGATTCAGTACAATGTTCAGCATATAGCGTGGACTCGGTAAACGTTTGAAGGGCACAGAGTAAACGGCAGCCCATATCTATAAAGCAACCCCCTGTGATGTTTTATCTTAACCCTTGACTTGGACTTTGAAAGAACTAGGAGATTACTGAAGCACACTTCTGGGTGTGTCAGTGGAGGTTTCTTTAGACAGGATCGGTTTGTAAGACCTCTAACTAATGGTTGCTGATTTTTGGTGTCATTTTTGGGAGGTAGTGGAAAGTAGGAGGTGGGACCTGGTGGAGGATGTAGATAATGGGGTACATGTTCTTGGGGGGGGCTATCTCTCATCCTGGCTTCTTCCTATATAACCTTCTCTCTGCTGTTGACCCCCCCCAAGCTATGAATGTCTCTGCTCTGTTACTCCCTTTCCACCATTATAGACTAACATTGCGGCAACCATGAGCCCAAACTGAAGGATTCCACCTTTTAACTCATTCTCTCAAGTATTTTGGCCACGGCTATGCAAAAGTAGCTGATGGATAACCCGAAAAGCATAACTTGAAATATTTCAAAAAATTAAAGAAATATACAAAAGGAGGACAATGTTTTCTTACAGCAGAAGCCTGTATGTGACTCCATCTCTAGGCTGTGCTTGGCTGAGTCAACCTACTTCTTGCTTTCATGCATTTACCTGATTGACATTTGTGAGCGCATCCTGTATGCAAAACACTGCAGATGCTTCGAAGAAAGAAGCAGGGGATTTGAGTGAGGGCCTGGAAAGAAAATGGAGGAATGATACTGTGCAGCTGACTGAATGGAAGAAGAGTCACTGGCCTGGGATGGGAGTGTGCTTGGATGTTCAAAGAGGAGGATGAAGATGAGTGGTGTTGATGCTCGGAATTGCTTGGGACAGTTCCTCATACATGGCTGATGTTTAATAAGTGTTAGGTATTATTATTCCCGTAAGTTTGAATAGGATGGGGCATAGTAGGGACAGTCTTTAGTACTGGAAGACTACTGACAAGTTGGGGAAACAACTTCATAAAGGTGAATGGCAGGAAGGCACAGATTGTGGGGAAAAACTCTTCATGAAGCAGAGCTAGCCATTTGAAGGATAAATTACAACAGGGATGATTGGGTTTCACTGAAAACTAATGAAGCTCAAAGAGAAGCCACTGTTCAAGAAATGGGCAAGACCGTAAGACAAGAGTCTACGACTCTTAGAAGTGCAAAAGTAACAGGAACTAAGCCTTCCCGTTGTCTTAAGCCATACTGTATATCTGTATTTTAATGGCAGTGTAGCAAAGAAACATTACATATGTGTGTATTATATATATTATATGTATATATATTATATATATATAGTATATAGTAGTATAATATAGTATATAGTAGTATAATAATATATAATATGTGTGTGTGTATGTGTCTGCGTGGTATAGTAATATATATATGGTAGATATCTTAGGGTTACTATCACTGTGATGAAACAACATGACCAAAAGCAACTTGAGATGGAAAGAGTTCATTTGGCTTACGCTTCCATGTCACTGTTTACCACCGGAAGAAGTCAGGACAGGGACTCAAAGGGGGGAGAAACCTGGAGGCAGGAGCTGATGCAGAGGCCATGGAGGAACCATGGCTTGATCTGCCTGCAATGCCTTAGTTAGTTAAGGCCCTTCCCACTCTATGACTCTAGCATGTGTCAAGCTGACATAAAACTATCCAGCACACATGCATCCTTTTCAGGAGCATTTAGGATTACTCACAGGGCTATAACAGCGCCCGTATAAAAAGACTGCATATACTAACGGTGTAGTAATGAATGAAGAGGCAAGAATAGGCTGATGAAAAATGACTGTGGTTTGTACACTTGCACCAGCTACACCACACAGAGTAAAGACTGTAAGCAGTGAACCATTTACAACTTTGTGTTGGGCTTCATTCATAGCTGTCCTTGGCCGTGAGGGCCATGGGTTGGGCATCTTGGAAAGGCAGCAGATGAAGAGGCATATATGTCACTCAGGGGATACAGAATACGTGGTACAGTTACCCACCCTGTGCTCATAAAGTGGGTGAAAATCTGATGTGAATCAATATTGTCCTGTGAGAAGATTGAATTCACTTCTGGTTGGGCTGGAGAGATGGCTGAGTAATTAAGAGCACTGGCTGCTCTTCCAGAGGTCCTGAGTTCAATTTCCAGCAACCACATGGTGGCTCACAATCATCTGTAATGAGGTCTGATGCCCTCTTCTGGCATCATGTAGATATAGCATATGCACATAAAATAAATCTTAAAAAAAAAAAAAGAAAACACCGAGCAATAAAAAATATTAAATGCTGGAAATAAATGGTGAGCATGCTATGTCAGAACTAGAGAGGGACATATCTGTGTCCTTCCACAATGTCAAAATGTGAATAGCAACAAGGTGGAGTGGCAAAGGGCAGGTCCAGGTCCCAGTGAATGTGTGGATGGACAGGTGGCTGCCAGTCCCAGATAGATGAATGCACAGCAGGGACCAAGCTGAAGTGATGCTTTTGGGACAGTTGTGAGTTCTCTCCCTGCTAGTACACTGACAAGAACACCAGGAACTGGGATGACAGGTGACTGTGCTGTTGCCATTGCTGTATTAGGTGAGGAAGCTGCACTTCCTGTCATTCCTAATTCTAAACATTATCCCATAAACCTACCTTATAACTTTGTTTTTAAACAGGAAATTTCTCTACTCTATGCCTTCAAAATCCATATACCTGAGTGGGTGTATGAGAAATTCCTTTCTTTGCTGAAGCAACATATTTCAGTTTTGCCCAAATTGAAAGGGAACTTTTCAAGCCACTTGGGAGGAAGCCTTGGAGCCTTACCCCTGTCACTACTGTTGGTGACACAAGTAACAACATCTTTAAGTGCTATATGTAACAGTTCTGCAGGAAGGAGCTCTCCCTGCAGATTGTAAGGGGAAACTGCAAGCCCCACGCATGCTGAGGTTCGAAGGAAGCTGAAGAGCTTAAATGGCGAAGCCTGCAGGGAGAACCCTGCAGGGAGAACGTGAGTAAGTGGGCTTGTAGTTGGGCATGAGATAACCTCACTAAACAGCCAGAGGAAAGATAGTCTGGGCCCGAGGATGACAAACTGCTCCATCCTCACCCTGAAGCCCCTGGGGAGCAGGTAAGGCACAGATTTTCTTTCATGATGTATTCTAACCTTCAATGCAGCTAGTTAACAAACCAAGTGAAACCTCCATCTTGTTCAGGAAGGAGACCCCAGCTCACCCCATAGACAACGAGTTAAATAAAAACAAAGATGGCTACTTCTTGGTATCTGTGGAAACAGACATCTTGGTAGAAGAAACAGGAGTCTCCACCCAGGTGGTCAGTGCTTCACTGTCATTGAGACAAGGAATTCTGTCTCAGGTTGACATTTTTCGGCCAGTGGGTTGCCAGCATGTTAGGTCACAGTCACGTATAAGTAGACAGAAAAGGACCTGTTGCACGCAAATACCTGCATCAGTCAGAATTCCAGAACATCTAAGAACTTGATATGCCCTGGGGAAAAAACAAACCTTGATTCCAGAGTTAAAAGTTGAAAATACTATGTACTTTAAAATATCATTTCTACCCTGAAATTGTATAGGACTATCCTCCAAGCCAAAAACCCGAATGGATATACTTTAGGAAAACGTCAAACATACTGAAGAAAGACTTTCACAGAAAAATTTCTACCAGCCTTAAAAACACAAAAAGAAAGCAATGCTGTCAGAAGGGAACTTTACAGAACAAGCGAGGTTTCTGGTTGCTTTATTAATTATATTAGGTTAGCTATGTCAGGGAAGGTGTCCTTTTAAGTATGACTCACCAGAGACCCACCTGTGCACTATCCAGGTATATACACTTCTATATGGAGACTTACCCGAAGAACATGTAAAGACATGTCTGAGGAAACCAGCGCCCTTCTCAAAAACTCAGAGAAGCCTGGAAGCATCTCCTGTTTCGCAACGCTCCAGCTGCCCTTGCCCAATTCCAACCACCAGGCTGATTGGCTGCGGGGTCCGCGGGGCGGCCGCTGGCATCTATTTTAATCCTGTCCTGGGGAAGCCCTCTGGCTCCTTCCCGCAGTGGCTCTTGAAGCTGTAAGAGGCTGAGGCCGCTGCTTCCTTCTTCAGAGGTTCCGCTCAACTCAGAGCTACTTCTTCTAAATTCTACATCTTGGGGGACTTTGCGAAGGAAACCCAGAGGTGGCACGTGAGGTAGGCACTTCTCAAGAAGGGTGAGATGCTCCGGATGCCCGAGCCTGGTCCGGGTGGCAGGGTCCTCCTGAGTCCGTGGGGATGAAGTGGCGACAGCCCCAAGTCGCTCCAGGAGATCCCGCAGCAGCCCCCAGGCTGGTGTTTTCCAGCACCAGCCCCGCGCTTGGATCCCGCTGCCCAGCTCTCAGCCGCGGGCCGGTGGAGGAGCTCGCAGGGCAGAGGGGACCCAGCAGGGCGGGGTGGCTCGATCCAGAGTCGAGCATCCGGTCCACGCGGGTGACACAGCTCCCCGGGATTCCCCGGGGTGAGTTACCTCCAGGCCCGGCCCAGGAGCATCAGGGCGGGGCTCCTCCTCGTCACTGGGCTCCGCAGGACAGTGAGCTCTGCCTAGGCTCTGGTCCTCTGGTCCCCGCCGCCGCCACGTGTTTAGCTAATAAACTGTGGTTTCTTTTCAGGTGGTGATGGGGTTTGAAGAGGACCTTAATGGAAGCGCAGACAAGAACTTCTCAAAGATGGGCAAAAAGAGGTAGTCAGATTGTTTCACTTTCGTACTTTACAAGTCTTGTACATTCGGGCCAATTAGTTTGTAGCCTCCAGCACTGTACTAAATGATTAGTGGGTGTTATTTCAGCCTTCAGAAACACAAACCAGCCTGTGGAAGGAACTCCTCTGCTTGGAGCAGTCCTGCAGATGTGTGTGACAGATCGATGCTTCTGTTCAGTCTCTAGACCGGCCATTGCTCACATCCTTTTAGTTTTATGACTTCAGCTTTATGAGCACTGTTGATCGCTCAGGCAGCCGAGCCGTATGCTGCTTGGGCTCTTGCTGTAGTCCATTATCTTCTGATAAACACGTATACTAGCACAGACTGTGGAGTGACAGGTGAAACAGAATAATACAGTTGGATGGTTTAAGGTTGCTTATCTATACTTAAATTATTAAAACTGAAAATGTGATTGCTAAGAGAAAATAGTTATTTTCAATATATTTTTATCATAGTGGACTGTGTGTGGCCAGTAATTAAAAACTTACCTCAGTAGGTTCATTGTTTATAGAAAATTATAAACTAAGATAATAGGAATTAGTAGATGCATTAATATTATTCAGAAACAAGGTTTCAGTGTAAAGAGGGAAAGTACAGGGTAAAAGTAAATTTCATGTTTAATAATGTGAAATTAGGATAAGAAACTTCAATATGAAGTCATGATTTTTTTTTCAGTCATTCATTTTTAGTCCACTGAAAAGGATAGTGCAGAAAAGCACTCTCGGAGCTTTCTGTTAAGGAAAGGGACACTGTATAGAACAGCTAATTTCAGCCAGATCTTGGACAGAGAAAATGCAAAGTGAGCCTGGAGTATCTGGTACTGACAAACAAGAAAGCAGGGTTTAATGGACTGGTTAGAAGATACAGGAGGACTGACAAGATGGTCCCAAATGCCTTCTTCCAAGCCTGGCAAGCCTGGTTTTGAATCCGTTTTCCAGAACCCATGTGGTAGCATCAGAAACCAACTGCAAGCTTCTAGTTGACCTGGACCTGCACTGTCACTTGCCTTGCCACCCTTGTGGGTGCATCCAAACACAATAAATAAAATACAAAAAAAAAAAAATCAAAACCACCAACCAGACATAGGAGTGAGCTACAAGGCTTTGAGCTTCCAAGAAGGTAAATGCTGTAAATGATTTCGAGATGCTAGAAACAGTACAGTTAGTTGCTCACTGAGAGGAAGGAAACAGTAAAAGATAAAGCATATAAGAGAAGCTTCGTTACAGAAAAATGCAGCTATCACACCGGAAAGCACGCTATCTGTCTATCATGTGAGAGAGAGGAAACTGTCCTTTCCTGGGGAGGGAGTTTGCTCTGAGCATCTTCACCTTCACAGAGGGACCAGACATAGAACCACTGGTGGTGGCACAGGCTGTCAAGTCACTAGGCTCCTGGTGGGATTTGGGGAGACAGGAATTTCATCTGAGTGCAGCCAGGTACTTCTAGACTGGAGTTATCTAAAAGAGATAAATTGTGAGACACATTTGAAGTTTTAAATTACCCCCTGTCGACATTAAAAAGTAAGTCAAGCTTCAGAAAGCATTGAGTATCCCAAACATAGCATTTTTGTATGTAATAAAAATTATGAATAAGATGACACCCTCTTTCACGCTAAGTCTATATTTTTATATTTAATATTCATGTTCTATTGTCCTCAGCTTGAAACACATATGCCCAACCTGTGGAATGTTTTTAGGAGACAATTACTTAGCATAGTAGCTTAACAAACTGTACATACACACACACACACACACGTGTACCTGTGTGTATACAGGATTTGTTTTGGTTTTGAGATAGCATCTTGTTGTGTAGTAAGGTGGAGGCTGTCCACAAACTTACTGTGTAGCCGAGGCTGGCCTGGACTTGTAATTCCTCCTCCCTCCTCTGTTTCCTAAGTGCTGGAATTAAAAGGTGTACACCAACACTCCTAAGTATATGTGTACAAAAAGCAAGGTGAAAAAATAAATGGTTTGGTTCTACACATATCCTCATTTTATTATTGGTTCTGTTGTGATTTCAAAGTAGACAAATTTCCTTTTATGTTTTGGTTAGTGGTTCTTATTAAACCACTCGTCAGAACTGATTTTGTTATTTAGTTATTTTTGTGGTTCTAAATCTACTCTAGGATGGTTGTCTGGATGAGCCTTAAAGTGCTTTTTAAGCTCTAGTGTGGGAGAGAGAATACACATTGCTACCAGTTCTCACTCCTAGTAGATACCACAGAGCACCCGCCAGTTCAGAACACAGTGCTGTAAAAAAACAATTGATAGTCAATCATGTTGTTATAGAACTTTCCTAAACACATGTTACAGATAGTACCTTTCCCCTTTTAGTACTAGCGACTGAACCTAGTAGCTTGTGTGTGTGAGAGAGGTGTTCTTCCTCCTACTGAATTATGTCTCTAGCTCAGTGCTCGGCAAGTGTTGTACCAGAGAGCTCCATCCCAGCTGAAAGTGTATGTTAAGACAGTCTCAGAAGCCTGCATCTCCTGCCTCAGCTTAGTGCCCAGTAGCAGGACCTGGGATAAGTTAAAACTACTCTTCTGGCTGGGCGGTGGTGTCGCACGCCTTTAATCCCAGCACTTGGGAGGCAGAGACAGGCGGATTTCTGAGTTCGAGGCCAGCCTGGTCTACAGAGTGAGTTCCAGGACAGCCAGGGCTACACAGAGAAACCCTGTCTCGAAAAACCAAAAAAAACAAACAAACAAACAAACAAACAAACAAACAAACCTACTCTTCTGTATGGGTTTTATCTGTCAGAGTCAAACAGTATGCCCTCTTCAGAGTTCTTAATGAATTATGTGTGTTTTGGCTCATGCCTAGGATGTCCCAATTTCTCCTAAGGAGCTAGTAGTGTCAGTGTCAGAGAAAGAAAGAGTAAGGAAAAAGCAGAGCTGAACTGGTCCATGGCTGTCTCTTTCCTTTACATCCTAGCTGCAGGGATGCTGGAGCCCTCCTTTAGACTACCAGCGCAGGACCCATCCTGAGGCTGTGTGTTAGGGTCCATGTTGCAAACTGGATTTCTTTTCTTTATATCTTCTGACTTAATTTACTGCATGAACAAAATATACTTTTAACCCTAAAAATCTGTGTCAAAGTAATGGTCTTCTTTCTAAAATAGTCTTTCATGTGACCAGTTTGGTGCAATTAGTTCCCTACCCATACAGGCAGTTACATGTGGTAACAAATGTGGGTTATAAGGTAGAGTTATTTGATTTGCAACTTTGAATAAGAGTTTACCTTTTTCATGTAAGGACAGCTTTTTGACAATTTATAGGGCCTTTAAAAAAATCACAGATTTTAAAGCTTGCATTGATTTTTATTATAGTCCACCTAGGAGCTCAGATGTGCTCTCAGAAATGGATTTGCTCTTAGAGTAATTTAACTACTTTTCAAGTTAGGAGACTTATGTTCAACATCTGATCACTGCTTTCCCTGGAGTAAAGAGAGTGATTACAAATACTGTCCAGAGTGCCGATGATGATGATGATGAAGATACATCGATAGATAGACAGACAGACACAGAGAAGTCTAAGTAGTAATTAAACTACACTTAGACGTACCAAGAAGGTAATTGGGAAGATTAATTTGGAGCATGATTGATTTTCCTTTTTTCTTTCTTTTCTTTTAATAGAGTATCACCATGTAGCCCAAGTTTTCCTCTGACTTGTAATCTTCCTGCCTTAGCCATCACAGTTCTGAAATTATAAAATATAATTCCATCATATCATAATTAGACCAAAAATAATTCAAAGGAGGTAAAAAAAAACCCAGCAAACTTTATTTTTTTAATGTGTAGTGTTTTACTCGTAGAAAACGTATTCATCATAAAAATTAAGAAATATCTAGCACACAAGCAAATAGTCTTACACAAATCCCAACACCTGGGCAAGCTCTGTGGGTGAGTTGTTTGAAAACCAGATCCGGTAACACACATTTGTAACACTCTGTTGGAGAACTATGAAGTTAAAATAGGAGGTTCACCAGAAGCTAATGGGACAGCTAGCCTGGTAAAGCCAGTGCTGGTTAACAAGAGACCTTGTTTCTACTGGTAGGAGGTAAAGATGATACCCCAGGTTTCCGCTGACCTCCATACGTGTACCATTACATGTTTGTGCCCTGTCCCCTCCCCACATACTCACGAGAACATACATATACACAAAAGGTAAAAAGAGTTACAAATAGAATACCCAGTGATTATCATATGTTTAAATGTGTAAAATATACGAATAGTATTTATGCTTCATAAATGACATCAGACTGTTTTAGTGAGTACTGTGTAGACATAGTTGTCCTAGTTGTCATTAGTTTTATAACTTTAAAGTTTTCATAGCATTTTTGAAGCTTTGTATAATTCCTTTGTTGTGTTTCTCAGTAAAAAGGAGAAGAAAGAAAAGAAACCTGCTGTTGGCATATTTGGGATGGTGAGTTTGGGATGTATTCATCATTTAAAACTCTTCCCTCAAAAAGGAGATATTTCATACGGCTTTCTTAGGACGTATGGAAGTGTGAATGCCAAGTTAATGGATTGGATTTAGTTTATTTTCAGAGGAATGCCAATCATAATTTGCCATGTACTGAGCCTCAGCAGCTCCCGCCT